AAACTTTTGTCTTCTCGTCTGCTGTCCAAAAACATAAAAATTAGAATATACAAAATTATGTGGCTCTGTATGGGTGTGAAACTTGGTTTCTGACATTGAGGGAGGAACATAGACTGAGAGTGTTTGAGAATATGGTGGTGAAGAGAATATTTGGACCGAAGAGAGATGAAGTGACAGGAGGTTAGAGAAAACTGCATAATGAGGAGCTTCATAACTTCTACACTTCTCCAAGTATAATTAGAATGATCAAGTCAAGGAGTGTGAAATGGGCAGGGCGTAGGGTGTGTACATTAAAATGGATCTTAGAGAGATATGATGGGATGGTATGGATTGGATTGGTCTGTCTCAAGGATAGGGACCAGTGAAGGACTCTTGTGAACACGGTAATGAACCCTCGGGTTCCATAAAATGATGTGAAATTCTTGAGTAGCTGCAGATTTTGCTTCTCCTCAAGAAGGGCTTAGCTCTATATTCGTAAGTAAGTAAGTACTACTGGCTCTAAGTTGGTCACGGGAGACCAGTGTTTTAAGTCATGCAATATTTTCTCTCGCTCGGAAGCCGGCAACGTGGGTTCTAATCCCACACAAGGCATTGATGTTTCATGTGTGTATGCGTTTATTCTGTGTTTTCTTGTGTGTAATTAGAGGCTTTGCGACGTCCTGATCCCCGCCCAAGGAGCTCTACCGTCTTTAAAAATGATCGGTGAAACCGAGAAATCAGCTCTATGCTCCAAAGTGGGAGCAAATAGAAGAAAGACTGATCCTAAGATGCGCTGCTTGATTAGATATATATATATAGATAGATAGATAGATAGATAGATAGATAGATAGACTATAAGACGTCTCATCCCAGAACGTAAACTTATCTTTCCACTATTCATTGCCAGAAACAAAAGAATTGCTGTGGAAGGGTGTTTTACAGTTGTACAGTTTACGACATATGATACTTGTTGAACACGAGATAAAATCGAATGTAGAACGTACAGGAACATGAAGGTATTGCACTACTTAATGAGAATCCGACTTCATGTAACTGATCTTATGTAACTCTAATCAATGTTACAGATTTTCATCCGTAAAGCAGAGGTCAGTGTGAAAGTGTTGTATAGAAATCGGAGAGACGCAGGCTTATCAAGTTGCATCAATCTGATATGTAAGTTCGGTGTTGTGTCAGTTCGTCCACTCCACGGATCTGTAGGCGCATCGGTGAGATCAAGTGCACCTGCCAATCCTTCACATGCTTCAACTCACAAACAAATTAAAGGATTTTGATTACATTTAGATTTGCAAGTATATATTAAAATTTACTGTGATATTTGAAACTTGGCCCTTGTCGTACAAGTACCTTATATCAAGATCAAATCTAAATTCATTAACTTTTAATCGTTTGAATTCTATGCAAAGGCAGGTACGTGATAAAAAATCATTAGGAAAATTTTCAATGTTTATACAGAAGTTCTGATGTTCTCATGGGGATAATTATGCAGATGATTTTTCTCTCGATTATGACACATGTGGACTCGTAGTTATCTACATTTCGGAGGAATATGTTGCCTCCTTCTTCAGGAAGAAAATGTATAGTTAGATGAATTAAATGTTATATAGACACGCTGCGAGGAAAGCGGTCACCTAAACACTTGGGCGAGAGTAAGGAATGAAGCCCGATTCTGGCCATTGAGAACGGCTGTTATTTTATATAGGTGTGAAATTTTACGAGTAAAAATGAAGTGAAAGTACTTCAGAGCAATATTCTGAGAAGAACGGCCGGATCTAGACAAAGAAAGTAACAGGAGATCGGACACCGCTGCATAACGGGGGCTGCATAATTTGTGCTCTGCACCAAACGTTATTACGGTGAACAATCCGAAGAGGATAAGATGATCAGGATACAAAAGTAACGTGGGGATAGAAGAAATGCATACAGAATTTTAGTATGAAAATTTTACTTTAAGAGACCATTTTGAACAAGTATATATACTGTATATGGGAGACAGTACTTAAAAAAATAATTTTGAGGAATGGGATGTGACTTTTATTAGGGGTCAGTGGAGTATTCTTCTGAATACGGTAATCGGCCTTCTGGTTCCTTTCGTAACACGGATTTTCTCAGAACAGAACAACTACTCGTTCTTCTGTGACTCTGTTTCATTGCGTCACAGAAGCATATTCGTAGGTAAAGCTGTCCCTGTAACAGGCCGTGAAGGCCCATACGGTTGTGAGACGTCGAGGATCCCCCATTTTCTCCAGACAGTTGGCTCACAGATACAGTAAGTTTGTTAGCCTTATGCGCCGGCCGCACTTTACACTCCAGGAAGATTCCTGGTACTCATTTCTGTTAGTGGCTGAGTCGAGCCAAGAGTCATAGTGCGGCAGGAAGGATTAGGTACAGGTACAGTTATCCTGTGTTTCATTAGTTAAGCACTATGCCATTAAGACACATGGGGGAATGGAGGTATAGCTCCACCATTCTTGACCTCGACACTAGTTGGAGGTGAGTGGTCAGCTTCACGCTTCAATTGAAAAAAAAATCCACCTCATCGGGACTCGAATCTGCGACCTTCTGGCTTGTAGCATAGTGCCTCAACCAACTACGCTACCGAGATCTAATGAATATTTACTGATGTACAAGTAAAATTAATATTTAATACAAAATCTGAAATGCTGATTAGCTCTTTTAATCATACTCTTGAATCTACAACATATAAACTTAAAAATTCAGTGATGAATACAGATAACAAAGAACACGCATGGAGCTCACATTCATTCCAAATTTGACCACACAAAACAGAAACAAACTAGTTGGTCTGTAGTCCGCAAGCGAACTATACCGACAGAGCGACCGCCGCTTGTCGGCGAAGTTAGTGCCAACTTTAGCGGATAGAGGGTGTCGCGTGGTCAGCGCAACGGATACCCACGACCGTTAATCTCGGTTTTGTAGACCGGAAATTGATCACACGTTTGAACTAATGTATTACTGTATTTTCGACTTTGTTCTGAAGTCGTGACTTCGACATATATAAAGCAGATGATATTTATTTCGTGCATGGGAACGATATCAAATAACATTTTCTTAATTTGGAACATTATTCAGCTTGAAGTAAACTGAGGAGATGATAAAGTAGAGTGGACCGGAAGAGCTATTATCCCTGTGTTCAGTGAACGGCTAACATTTCAGGTGCTAACTCCGTAGACAACCTGTACCATTTACTGTTGGGTTACTGGCTAATTCAACTGAAGCTAACGGTTGTTTTCTGCAATCTCCCTAAGAACTTTCTTGGATAGCAAGGCAAAAGTCACGCCTCAGATTAATTAATTAAATATCACGACACGAAGGCGTATGAGGGACTGACAGTATAGCTCCACGCATCTTTAACTTCGGCAACAGATGGCGGTTAGTGGTCAGCTTCTCGGTCATCTCGCCTTACCGCTGGAGAAACAGCTCCCGGTACCTATTGCATATGCTCTGTTGTGTGCCTAAGTCTTTCTGCAAAACCACAAAGAAAAGACAAATCTCTTTCCTCCTCGTCATCCGTATCCCTGTTGCTAACCGGTCTGAGTTATACCGGCTCCATTGTTGGGACAGCGGCTTGAACTTTTATTTCAGGTGCTGAAACAAGACCTTCCAAGTTCAAGTACTCCCTTACAAACAGCCCCATCTCATTTCACATTATATAAATTACATAGTTAAAAGAATATCGTTAAGGCCCGCATGAACCCTCACATGCTTTCATGTCGAGATACTTAACCGCAGGGACTCTGCCTTTTCTAAATGTTCCTATACATCGTCATAGCACCTCGGTACTTCCCTGACACAAGAGCTCAGCGGCACAGTATATGTCGGAATTTGAGGCGTTCTGATTCTGCTATAAATTCTAATACGCTTGAGACCGCAAACACAATTCATTCAACAAAAATACGGAAAATTTCCACCGCATTTAACATTTCTTAACACGCTCATACATTTACAACAAATCTGTGTTTCTAATAATGCTGATGATTCGAGAGCGTAGAACTCACGAGAAGGAAGGCCTCAGATCTGAGGATCTGAGATTTTCATTACGGTTAAAATTAAGTTTACGGTAATCTGGGTTGTGGTACCGTGTAGTCCCATATGTAGATACTCACGGAAAGCTGGAGGAACATACGCCCTCCTTTTTCAATGTAGAAGAATGGTCACTTCTGTGTCATGAACTAGCAGGTGTCTCGGAAATATAGGTACGTATCTGCTACAGTACAAGGCGTTATATCCAAGAAGAACCTAAACTTAAAAACGAAGGCATTCAATTAAAAAAAAACGACGTAACATTCTTTTAAGGCACAGGCTAGTGTAACGGTATGTCTTATTATGAGGTACCCTTTTCGAATCGTGTCCGGAGTACTGGATATTCTGACTGAGGTTTCTCGTGATTTTACTCAACCCTCTCAGGCAAGTGTCAGAATTGTAGTTCGATCAAGGCACATCGTCCTTCCAAATTTTTCCAATTCATTATTCATCGATCCTTCTAACCATGTGATGAAGTGCATCTGAGAGACTGACAGTTTCACAATAAACATGCGTTTTTTGTAGTCAATGCAATTTCCGATTATGTGTTTGGAGGAACTGAAGAAAATCACGAATAACTTCAGTCAGGAATGCCGGTCGCCAGAGTAAAGAAGCTTCTGCTTTTTTCTCTCTCTTTTCTGAGTGTATTCATAGACAGAATTTTCATTATTCATAAATGAAACCTTTCATATGGGCTGACCCATTAGGGAAACATCGTTTCTTTGAAACAAAAGAAACCATGAGAACTCTTGGAGCACCATGATTTCACACAGCGGTGCCATTGGCTCGACCCGAGCGGCCGCAGCTGAAAACGAGGCAGCTGGTGCCGTGAAATCCAGGGCTGCAGAGACATGCGCATTAGGACAATATATTATATTGATCATTCTCCTCCCATCCCAATTCTTACACTGCCCTCTTGATTATGCTCGCCCTCGTCTTTCCTCTCCTCTCCCCTCCACAACATGCACAACCACATGCAAACACATTCTTGTCAAGTTTCTCAGGGAAGAAAGCTGTATCAGCACCAAAGAGAGAAGAAAATGCACCAGCCTTAGGCAGAAGCTCGTCACAGCAACCGGCAGCAGCAGCATTTAAAACAGTGTTTGCTCTTGATTCGGTGGAATTGCCTCTCCGGCAGGTGGCCCTCAAAGAAGGCGGCGCAATTTGCGGCTACCGTAACTACCGCAGTTAAATAGGTAAATCCTGGACAAGATGCAGTAGGAACATGTACATATAAAACATTAAAATTCTGTTATATATTATATCTAAATGTTAAAAGTGTAAAAGTGGAAAATAATTTTTGTTGTTATGACGGCGAAATCTGGTGGATCTACTGCACCAAAGGAACATTCGATATGACAGGTTTGAAGTTCGTAAAATAAGCTTTTATATGCGAAAACTGAAGACGTTGCAGCGGAGGGAGGTAAAATCAGAAAGAGTCGAGCCGAAGCAGGAAGAGAGGATGACATCGTTAGCCCAGGCGCTTGGACTTCTCACGTCTGCAGTTCTTCTCTTCTCTCTACCAAAAGGCGAGTAACATTTCCTTCCTTATTGTAATTTATTGCATGTTTAGCATGAATTAGGTGTTGGCATAAGAGAGCAACACTCAATATGTCAAAAAACGCATTCCCCACGTCATGATATTATTAAAGCAAATTTATATGTAAAGGTAAAATTCGCTCTATACTTGATATAGTACCACGCTAACAGGGAATAAGAGGAGGAAGGGTATAGCTCCACATATTCATAATCTCAGCTCGAGATGGAGGTGAGTAGTCCGCTTCACGACTCAGCCGCCTTACCCTTTGTGAAAGAATCCTATTCGATTGAAAGCTAGGTGAGTCCCAGAGTCATTCCAGCACTGTGAAAAGAGAAAAATATCTTTCCTGTGCAGGGAATCGAACATTTTAAGTATTCGAGTAAACAATGGGATTAATCCTGGGCTCGAACTGCAAATGGGCAGAGGGTAGCTGGATAGATGAACGGACAATTGACTTACTGTCCGCACAGAAACCACAATCAGCAGTTATTAATTTTTCATATAATGTCATCATTTATACAGGACTAGTTACATTTTTAAATACGTTTGTGTAATAATATTCTCTGACGTTTTTATGATTGAAGTTCCTCTAAATAATGCACAAAAATGCAGTTCGTGCCTCACACATCAAGCAGTTAATGCTGCTTATTGGAAAAAAAAGACGTTTCATTAGGTCCAGAGTAGATTTATTTCAGTTCAGTTCATATTTTTACTACGTTTTTAAGATTTGTATACATCAGTTTTCTTTCCATGAGGACATAAGTAGGCTTATGAGATAATCTTGATATCCAATATGGATCTTCGTATTCCGCATGTTAGCTTTTGAACCTGATGACTAATTTCATGAAACCTGGCTTGTGAATTATGCCATTAGAGGCCAACCAGAATTCTTTACTTTAATGTCAATAAGATGGACGTGAGAACTTGTGAGACTGGAACGAAATTAGAGCCACTTAATATGTTTTCATAAGATATAGGCCATGATAAGAGTTCCTGGGAAAAGTATACACTTTTTATTTACGAATTTGTGTGTGAAATTTAAAACATAAAATGGCGGCTTCATGAAATAAATGCTTAGCGTTCGGTTTCATGTCAGCGGTTAATGAAGAGCTGGACGGCATTATGAGTGATATATTGCTCATAACTGAACAATTATAAATATGGCGACAATGCGAATTTTTTGAGGTTATGTCCGAAAAATTACATGTGAAATATACATTTGAATAATACGGTTTTCAAATAATAATAATCCATGACATATTTAAAACTTCAGACAAAACTTATCTCGAACATAAATCCATCGTGTGGTCATATACGACCGAGCCTAGTACGCCAGCCCACAAGCTAAATTTAATTTCGTCTTTGGCTTAAAACTTCACATAATCTAGACACGACATCAAACCGGATTTGCAGGACTAGATGTCAGCGGAATGGGAAAATACGCTTTGTGCATTTCACACAGAATTCTCTGTTCAATATTATCCTACTTATTCCTAGATGTTCGTACACAAGAAAATATCCTTCAACGGATCGTAACCTGAGGGAATTCCATCGAGTTCACACCTTTACAGTCTGCGTCTGTAAGTTAGATTTTACTGCTTTCATTTAATCTATACTTTGTTGCCCTACATATTCTGGCACAATGAGGGTTTCCACCACAGTATGACATGCGATTAGTACACTCGTACTTCACACATCCCAGCCTACTCTTTTTCATAGTCCCAACGAGCCAGACGAAAATATTAGAGTAATCAGGCATACCTACATTCCAAGATATTGCAATATTAATTCGTTTTGTTCCTTCATAATTATTTTTATATAATCTCAGCCCTATAATGCCCTAATAGGGTAAATTTTTTGACAGATAGCGAAGGCAAAACGGAAGAACGCCGAGGCGTATTACAAAAGAAAGTTATGTTGTATTGTGAAGAAAATACAGTATACAACTTAACACAGAGGAATAGAACATACAGACGACGCTGAGGTTTCAGCATTTTATTTTTCAGCTTCTTGCTATGTGTGCCACTTGTAGAGCCAAGTATGTAAATATTTTAGAATATCATCTTTACTTCTATCTTTTCTCGACTAGAAGATTTTTGCCTCAAGCTCAAATCTCGAGTTATTCATATGAGGTACTCTGAAGTGAATAAAATTTCATAGAATAGTCCTATGTAGAGTAGTGGCAAGAAAAATGATTAAGAGATGGGGGTGCAGCATTGCTTCAAATTTATTTTCAGTTAAAAATTTTTTCATGTTTACAAATTCGTATTAAAAATCTGTTCCAAGAAAACAGCTTCTACACATTACCTTCACACAAGAAATGAATAAGGAATAAAGCTGAGACTTGAACTGGAAATAATAAGACCAGGTTGTGTTGCAAAGTTACAAAGTTACGGGCTGAGGAGGAACTGTTGCAGCAATAAAGAAGCCATGAGGATAGGAGCAAGTTGAGACTTGCACTGAGTGAGCACAACAGGAATCTTGCGCGTGGCAGATCTGCCGCCTTCAGCTACACAAGAAACTGCATAATCTTGGAATTATGTGTGTTTTGTCATGTAAGGGAACCTGTTACTATACGTCACTTGACGGATTGCGTGCAAAGGACATATGGGAGAGGTGGCAAATTCATATAAAATTTTAGTCAGAAAATCTAATGGGAAGACATCACTTTAAAAATATAAGAATAGTCTTTGAAATACTGGTAAAATGTGAGTATATACAGGGCAGTTTTCAGTGGCAGGTTGTAGTGTACACGGTAATGAAGCTTCCCGTTCCGTAACACAAGGGGGATACCTTAGACACCTGGGCAACTATCAACTTCCTATGTGAACGCAGTAACTTATAGCTTTTACATTAATAGACCGTTCAATACGTAAAATATGTGCGCACCATCTTTGTGTTCTTTCTGTTTAACACCGAACCACAAATACATATATAGTACTGGCGCTGGAGCAAAGCCATTACATGCAATTTACGTCTGCCACTGAACATTGAACATTAAACGCCCACAAGTAGCGAGGCTGAAGGTGGGGTTGGGGAGTAATGGGCGAAGCCCAGCTATCGACGTCTGAAATTAACTTATATTCGCGATACTGTGCGGTTTCATGTGGCCATGATCCGACATACTGTGTACATTACTGAGCCCATACTGAACGTAATTGTGTATTACCACATATTCAGGAAGTCGGAGACGTAACCTGATATTCTGGCTAAGAATGATCTTGTAAGATTTCAGGCTTTCACGGCGGTGACTATGAAGAAAGCAGTCTTCTGGGATTTGGCACCGTGTATATGTGGTGTTAACCGACGTTTCGGAGGAACGTATCGCCTCAATCTTCAGGGTAGAAGAAAAAATATATAAGAAATCTGCAAGCGAAGAGACCGTGAGAACCACCGGTGGTTCTCACCCTGAAGATTGAGGCGATACGTTCCTCCGAAACGTCGGTTAACACCACATATACACGGTGCCAAATCCCAGAAAACTGCTTTCTTCAAGAATGATCTTACTTTCCTTCATTCTCTTTGTGCTACACTCAGATGGGTAATGTGAAAGGTTGGAATCCTGGTTTTTATGGGGATGTAGTATAAAAATACTTTCTTCTGTCGCCTGCGAGCTTCATCTTGACCTACATTTCAAGTTTTGCACAAGAAACGAATGGATTAATGTTTTCCTATGATACATAATTTATTTGAGATTGGACCATAATCTGGTAATTTCGTCAAAGAAGGAAAGAAGTAAAAATAGTGAATATTGTTACCATAATGGCTTGAATGATGAGAGAAACTTCAATAGCTTTTGTTGCATGACGTAATTACACGTATATTACAGTTACACAGAAAAATTACAATAATACGAGTACGTGGGAATACAATAATGGCTATATAAACCAATACCTGTTGAAAAGTGTCACAAGCCAAACACCGTAATGAGTACAGAAATGTCCCAGTTACACTGGGATTGATGAATCACAGATTATGTACAATCTATTATTCCCGTTATATAATGACATGAAGGCTATCATCCATATACAGGAAGGTTCAAAATTATCATAACACTAATTGTATTACGGTTAAATCGTCATTTTCCGTATCATAACTGCATATCAAGTGACTGTTTCTGTGATCTCCTCAAGGAGTAAAATTGCCCACAAAACCTGAGGTCTGTTTTAGGCCCCCTATAATATAGCTTCAACATTTCGGAAAAAACTTTTTTGTGGGTTATTTTATGACGCCTCATCAGTATCGGGAAAATACAGCGTCACGGAGATATGTGTTGCCTCCATTTCCCTCTCGTAACCTAAAGATGTCGAATGACGGTTCCTCCGAAACGCTAGTACTAATTATGAAGCCACAAGGTTTGAAGTCCCATATTTCGCACTCCTAATATTTATTTCAGTGAGAAACTCAAATTTCATACCCAGTTTTCATGTTTCAATTATGAGGAAATTAAATGATTTAATTCTGATTTTATCGTATCACGCTTACGTGCAGCCCGTTTAACTCTCAACGGGAAATAATTACAGAAAAACTTCGTAAAAACAGGTAATTTTAATAACTTTAAATATTTGGTGTACCATATATTTCTTATCGTAAAAACCAGGTAACAACATGGATCGAATAATAACATGCACTTAGCGTGACATTAGCTGTAGGGCATTTTCGGAAAAGATGGACACTAGAGTATTGACTCGGGCCGCGCCATAGCTCAAGCGGTTAGTCGCTGGCTTCCCACCGCGGTGGCCCAGGTTCGATCCCGGGTCTGGTCAAGTGGGATTTGTGGTGGACAAAGTGGCGCTGGGGCAGGTTTTCTCCGAGTGCTTCGGTTTCCCCTGCCAATCTTTATTCCACCAATTGCTCCACAATCACACTCACCTATCATCTGGGGCAGGTACAATAGGCCAGACGTGGCCGCACTACAAGGGACTTAGTCGCACCCCACTAGCATTAAAAAAAAAAGAATATTGACTCAAACATATCTTCCACTGGTGC